TAAAAAATTCGAAAGATATCCGGAGAGGCGGCCTTCAGGCGAGTTTTAATTTTAATTTTCCTTCTCCCACTTAATGCCCCACGCTCGCCCGAGCAGCTTGCAGTCCTCGGTAACCACAGCGACCCGAGGGAGGGGAGGGAACAGGGAAGTCGAGGGCGGCGGCGGAGCCGCGATGACGTCAGTGGGCCGCGCCGCCTCACCCTGGCACGGTGTGAGAGCCCCGGCTAGTGGCGCGAGCTTCAGAATAAGTGGGATCCGCGTGCGCGAGACCGAGATCGCGGGTAAGGAGCTCAGCCCTGGGCAGGAGGAAGCGGGGCCGCGCGTGCGGGCCACATCCCCAGAGAGCGAGCCTCCCCCGGCCCACCACTCCGGGCAGGTCCACTCGCATGAGGGGCGGCGATGGTGACGGCCGGCAGCTTGCCTGCAATGCCATCCCTTGAGCAGGCGAGGAGCCCGGAGGCTACCAGATGCGAGTCCTCTTTCCCACCCTGCTCGGGAGTCCAGAGCACTTGGTCGCATTCAGGATCTAGAGTGGGGAAGCGGGGCTTGTGTCTGGGCTGGACACATTGGGCTGCCTGTGCCGCTCGACCTGCGGGGAGAAATCAGGGTGGGAGTCACGACCGTGAGGCAGGGCTGCCAAGTGTGGCAGAAGAGGACACGGCCGTCGCACCTGTCCTTAGGTAGGAGCTTCTTCCGTGTCGACCTGCTGCCCTAAAGTCTTGGCTTTTTTCTTGGCTTTTTGGCGGTTGGCACAGAAGGAAGGCAAGGGGGAGGGGAAAAAATTGAAACTTACACTTTCGTGCGTCCCTCCCAGCGTGACGCTGCGCGCTGACATCACGGGGCTGTAATGGTGGTGTGCCTCGAGATTTTTTTCATGAAACAAGTGTGCCTTTGCCCAAAAGGGTGGGAAACACTGGGCTAAGTCAAATTGAAAGCCAGGCAGAATTGCTCTGCCTTACAGGCACTGCGCAAGGAAGTTAAATCCTACTGGGCCCTGGTCTCATGAGACAGAGCATTCCACCAGGTTGGAGCCATCACTGAGAAGGCCCTGGCCTTGGTAGAGGATAATCTGAGAACGTAAGAAGAGCTCTGCTGTATTGGGCCAGAAGACTTCTCATAGCGAACAACTAGATTCCCCAGTGGGAAGTTGGCAAGCAGGACTGAGCACAACAGCACTCTCCCTACATGTGATTCCCAGAAACTGGCATTAAGACAGTGGAAGTAGCCTCAGTGTTTCTCAGCCTAACCTACCTAATGGTTTGGGGCAGGGGACTTGGTAGTGTGCCTTAAGCTTCTTGGAGGAAAGTTAGGATGTACTAGGGTTGCCATAGGACATCCTAAGGAAAAGTGGGATATTCCGAGATCAGAACTGGGATGGCTTCTGTAAATCTGGGGTTGTCCCTTGAAAATAGGGACACTTGGAGGCTCTGAGAGTCAATTTCCCAAAGCCTGTTGGAACAAGAAGTCACCTGTCAGAAGAAGAAGAACAAGGAGGGAGCCAGTCTAGCTTCTCTAGGGAGGGACTTTCAGATTCTGGGAGTAGCCAGCTTGTCCTGCTTTTTTCACTGGGGCTATTCTATAGATTTGGGATGTTTTTTGTTGTAAGTGTTCTTTTTATATTTTGGTATTGCGCTTTATGGGTTGTATTCCACTCTGTCCTGCTCAGGTTAGACCTGTCGCAATTACTGGCCCAGAGGACCTTGTTCATTAATTTCAATGGCTCTGGACTGAGTAGGATTAGCACAGAGTTGTATTCAATGCTAGTCCTACTCAGGAGTATACCCATTGAGATTAATGGACATAACAAACTTCCGTTGACATTAATGAGCCTGTTGGGTATATCCAGTGGATAGCTAGACACTGGAAAGAAGCACATCTGGAAAGAAGTACATCTAAACAGATGTCCAAGAATGGTATAACATAATTTGGGACATAGCATTTAATGAAAAACTGATGCAATAAATTTCTGTGGGTAGAGGGAGGGAACTGAAGAGACTTTTATGGCAGACTGGTCGTCATTTGTCCAGCCCATGAACAAAGGTTCTACAGAACAAACTGTACTTGCTGCATTCCATAATACATTAATATTCTCCTCCATATTGATGAAACTTTCAGTTTATCTCCACTTCTGTTCCTGTATGAACCTTTAATATTATTGTTTACATCTGACTATGCCTTTGGGTTGTGGGAAAGGGTTTGTAAATTTATTTAAAAATATACATGGGGGTGACATGGGGGTAGAGAAATTAATGAGCCTGTCTACTTTGAGTAGAAGTTGGATACAGACTTTTAAAAGTCACAGTTAAAGACTCTTTTACGTAGCAAGTGACTAATACATTGAACGGATAACAATAATAAATAAATATAATTAGCTCTTCATCAGGGGAACGCTGGCAGTAGAGGCAACGGCTGAGAATTTTGCATAGCTGCTGTGTTTTAGGATTGTGGTATTGAAACACAGTTCAATGAAAAGATCGCAAGAAACAAGAGAGCTCAGCATTTTCTTTTTAAAAAATTATCATTGCACTTGTTAACTTGTTAAATTCATTCTTGGAGTAAACTTAAAGTAGGAAAGTAAAGATAATCTCTGAAAAGATCATCCGAGCACGCCGGTGTTTGCCTAGAAACGAACCCTAAGATGTCAGCCATTGAGGCCTTTTCATGTGGAAAGATCGCTAAGTAAATTCCCTAAATGTCTATTCATCCCCCATAAGATGGCAAATCAGTGAAGCAGCAAATGTGAAAATCGGCAGGGCTTTACGATAGAGAGGGAGAGAGAATGTGTGTTTCTTCCCCTGCAAATGCTAAATTGAAATGCAGATTCTGACCCCGGGAGACTTTTAAAGCTCACTTGAGTGAGCATCAAAGGAAGGTCTCAGGCTTCTGCAATCTAGCCATTTAGGTTGATTGATAGACAGATACTCCAATTGGTCTGGACTTAGTCAATGGTTAACTTGTTCGTTATTCATCAGGGCAATAATGAACTGTTCCTTGAGATGGTTGGAGAGTTTGTAAATGCAGGCTACTTAGGGGGATCACTGTGTTGATAGAGTTCCCTGGCTGGGTTTGCTCCCTGTGCAACTTGGAGTACGAGTCATTTTGCTCCACAGGCAACGTATTCAAAAGGAATTGCTGCAGCATTTGAAAAAGAAGTTCCGTGTTCCCGACTACGGGCATAGAGTGACTCAAAGCACATTTTCACGGATAAACCGCTGCAAATGTGCCTCTTTCCCTTTTTAATGTCCAGCTGGGTGTAAGTGGAACCTGCAAACCAAAATCCCACAAGTTCAGGGGTAATAATGCTTCTTGAAGACTAGTTGCTGGAAATTCTGCTGCATTCAGGTCCTGCTTGTGGGTTTCCCAGAGGCATCTGGTTGGACCTCAAGAACAGGATGCTGAACTAAATGAGCCACTGGCCTGACACATCAGGCTCTTCTTATGCTCTTAATTGGTAGTGGAACCTTGTTTCCTGGAAGAGTTTCAAGCTAGCTAACCATTCCCTCCTTCCAGAATGCTGTAGTCTTGTTAGACTTCTCAACCTGTGGGTCCCCAGATGGTGTTGGACTACAACTCCCATCATCCCTGAGCTCTGGCCTTGCTAGCTAGGGGTGATGGGAGTTGTAGTTCAACACCATCTGGGGACCCACAGGTTGAGAAAGGCTGTAAGAAAAACATTCTGCTTCTTCCTTTGCAAGTTTTCCATTTTTTCTTTTCCAATTAACCATCAACATTCTGTGACTACTGAGCATGCTCAAACCTCAATGAGTTGTTGGGACGTGAGTTGCCTCTTTAAGAGGGATAGTGTTTTTTTGTATTTCTGCAAACTTCAGGGTTCTCAAGAGCATGTCGCTCTGTCTCTATCTATCTTTTTAAATAAATGTTATTAAGATTTATAGGGAAAAAATAGAGTTTAATATCTTTTCCTTTAAAAAAAAAACAAACCAAGACTTTTATCTAGATACTATAAAAACACAAAAAGGGGGGAGAAAGAAAGAGAGAGAGAACAATGAAAAAAGTAAATAAACAGAATAGAATAGAAGAGGTTAAAAGAGAAAGATAGAGGAATAAGATTCAGAAAGTAAAGCACTTCCAGTTCTTCATCTGCCTGCTATATAAAAACAATATTCACTTTGTCCAATCCAACATAACACCCAACAAAGCTTCTTTCTATAAACAAACATTATATTCATTCCTCAGATCCAGATATCATTATTTCTTTTTCTTTTTCACACAAAAAGTTCCTTTCTCTCTTGTTTTTAAATTCCAGATTGACAGTGCAAGCCTCCCCCAAAAAGTGTTTGGTGGCTCCTTAAAGACTAGCAAGTTTATTGGCATAAGCTTTTTGTAGATACCATAATAAATCCTTCAGTCTTAATGCACCAAAACACTCTTCCCGAGTGACTGCTCATTTTAAAACCTTCTTAGAGCTGCTCCTTTCCCCAGGTGCTGCTTCCAAGCACTTTGAAAGGATGTGAATAATTTTACAGGTGTGCTCCCTTCACACTTGATGTCAGTTTTGTACTTGTGCTTTTCACAAGGCTGTAGTTTTGGAGTCAGGACCGTTCAGAGCTAGGTAAAGTGAGTGGGCAGGTGTAATTCAGTTTTTTAAAAAATACGTATGGTTAACTGAACTACATTTTAAATACGAAATAATAGATAATCTGAATGGAGAAGCATCTTCAATATGAAGTGAAAACCTGTTTGCATAAATTGCTATTGAATTTTCAAACTACAATTTAGTCAGCGATGTCTTTCAGTAATGTAACATTTTATCTTCTTTTATGAGGAGGGATCCCTCAGATTTGATACAGGAAATACAAATACACTGAATTTTTGTTTCAAGAAGAGAAAGAGGCTCTCCTGGAATGTGTCTCACATGATATCAGTGACTAGGCAACATCTGCTTGCAAATCTGAACTTACATTTCAGTGGTAAAGTTCCTGGTGTGTATGACTAACTATTAGTCTCTGTTTTAATTTTTTGTCCCAATCATTTCACAGGACAAACGACCAGCTGGTTGCCTTCCTTTCCAGATACCGAGACATGAACTTCTTGAAGTCCCATGGAAGAGACAATGCAAGGTAATGTGGCCTTTTCTGTGCCTCTCAGTATAATAATAAAAATTTGTGGTGATACTTCTCATTTCTTTTCTTTTTTTGCAGTCCAGGTAAAAGTTGGATCACTTTGTGTGATCAATAAAACCTGCACTTTCAGCTGCAGTTTTCCCAAGAAAGATGTACAGATCTGTGCATTGGGTAGTGCAAAGCCAAGCAAGACAGAACGCTTGGATCAGAGTTTGAGGATGGCATTCAAATTATTTGTGTGCACACAGTGGAGGCTGGCTCATGAGAGTGAATGGGGCACTACCCCACCAACCTCAGTCTAGCCCAGCCTTAATTCCTAAAAAGAACAAAGTTAGATGTCAAGCCTGGGCCACGGGTAGAAGTTTGAGATGAGGCCTTAAACCAAGAGACCAACCCATTATTTAGGACCAATGAGCAAGTCAGAAGCAAAGGATAAAGAAAGATACAGGAACAGATCGGGGAGCCATTGTTGTTTAACCAAGGCTCCACTGCAACAGGAAGTCCTCTTATATTGTTTCCTGTCCTGGGGGGCAGCCTGAGTCCATCCAGGGCCTGAAGGTCCTTCACTGAGAAGCTGGCATTTGCAATTCAGTGGCTGACCACGCAGGGCAGACACCCACAGATCCCAGTAGCTCTGACAGTGGGAAGGTGATGTCATCTTCCCAAAACCCAAGTTATCTGCCCATTCCATGCGAGAACAGGCTGTGGTTGCTCAGAGATGACATTTAAAAATGCACTCTGACCCAGCTCAGGGGCACCATTCATTATCCGCCTATTCTACAATTTTAGACAAGCCGTTGAAATAAGATTCCAGAGCTAAGCCAGGCACAAAATTAAGCCCATTTCGCACCTTCCAGTTAAACGGTGGCAGATTTGAGAAGGCTTACCACTTCATGCATATATATCAAGTGGGCTGGGGGAGAGAGAGAGATCTCTGTCTTTTTGTCACTAAAGTGACAGTGTTGTCATTTTATTTTCTTGCAGAGTATCAATCTGCTCAAAAATATGAAAAGCTTATTATATGTTTATCTACTCTGATCTGGTTTCTCTTTTTTTACAAAGAGTTTCCTGAGATCAGCTTACATATTTTATCTCTCTTGCTAATACAGTTTAACCATATCTTAGGACAGTACTGTGTCACATTTTTTAAGGAGAGACTGTTACTTATCATTCTCAATAGTGCTGAACTTGGATGGTCTCGTGCCAATCCCTTTGCAAGTGACACTGGGCCACCAAAAATATGTTGTTGTTGTTTATTCCGTGTTTCAGGATACTGTACAAATCCTTCGAGGGTTTCCAGTAATATTAAGACTTATTAGTAGAATCACTATATTATCACTGTAACTATATGAAAACAAAACAATTCGTCAGAATTGTAATGTAATGTACATTGGAAGTACATTATTTCACCCAAATTATTCTGGGAACTGTAGTTTCCTATGGGTGTTGGGAACTGTAGCTCTGTAAGGGGTAAACTACACTTCCCGTGGTTCTTTGAGGGAAGCCATGTGCTTTAAGTTTATGGTGTGGGTGTGACCTAAACCCTTTCCACACTGAGCAGTTGGTAGGTAGATGCTGCTCTGCAGAGATTGGACAGAGGAAAGTCCAGCTGAGGGAAGCTGTTCAGTGACTTTTGCACCCCTCTCTCTCTCCCATAACCCTTCCTACATGGCAGTCTGTGGTAGATATGTTTGGGCTGTGGGAAGCTGGAGCAGGCTTTGAAGTCTGCCCACACCTCTTGGTTTCCTGAGATTTTTTCCCATAGTGCATCACATGGTCCCAGGTGTAATGTCTACGGCAGATCCATTCCTTGATCTGATGGTTGTGGAACTACCAAGAGGGACCCTCCCTGTCTATCTTAACACCCAGCAAAATTTGTAGGAGCGGAGGTGGTCACTTGCGGAGGTGGTCACTTGGCTATCAACTCACTTAGGGCTGTGTGAGCACACCTTGAACTAGGCCCAGAAACAAGCCAGCAACCAGTCATAGATTGGGGCCTTGCAACCAGTCATAACCAGTCTTGGCTTCCTGCAAAGAACCCTGGGAAGTGTAGTAAGTTCAGGGTGTTGTTGAGGGACCCCTATTCCTTTCACAGAGCTACGTACAGTTCCCCAGAAAAGAGGATTTGTTTCTTAGACTACTCTGGGAATTGTAGTTATGCAAGGGGAATAGGGGTCTCCTAACAACTCTCAGCACCCTTAGCAAACTACAGTTCCCAGAATGCTTTAGGGGAAGTTGTAACTGTGAAAAATGCTGCTTTAAATGTCTGGTGCAGATGTAGCCTAAGTTGTTTAGGGCTTTGAACACAAACGTGAATGCAACTTGAATTGGGCCCAGAAATGAACTGGGAATGCATTGCTTCATTTTGACTGGCAGGTTTTGCATTAGCTGGCATTCCTGTCAAACGATGGAGTTAAATTAGAAAGGCAATAAGAAAGGGTTATGGAGATATGCCTCCCATTCACTTCTGACTCTTGTGATCATTGCTCCTCAAACACTGTCAAAAGAAGAAATAAGAGCATGAATTATGACCGTTCCACACAAAGCCGTAAGATACTCACCTCGGCTGGGACAAGAGCAATTTGGATGAATTAAATCTGCTCATCTTCTCATTAATTTAATATTAAATTGTGCTAATGTGCCACTTGGCCTCTCTTCTGGGGAATAATAGGCTGGGTCTTTAATGGGGATTCTGCCTTTGGAATACATAAACAGTTAATTGCATCTTAGGATGTGCTGTGATATATAGGTAGGGCTAGCATATCAGTTTATGTATTATTCAGAATCAATTATCTCTTTAAAAAAACTGAAAGTGCTTCAAATTAATTACAAAGAAAGCAGTAACAAACTTGAGGGGTTGCGATGGAGAACAGTCAGATTTCAGGAACACATCAGTTCAGGAGAGCTGTTCTGGAACCATCTGTGGGCAAAAAGTGGTTGGACGAAGGGAGAATGTTCCCACAAGTTGAAGCGCGCTCCCCCAAAGCTGCTGTTCACTTGCAGAAGAGAATGGCGTGTCATGGTTTCAGGGGCACTGTTGTGGTGGAGTGGAGTGGCAGCCTCCATTGGATGGGGTAGGAGGAGTTATGGCAGGCTTCCTCCAACTCCTCCATCATCCCTGACCACTGGTCCTGCTAGCTAGGGATCATGGGAGCTGTAGGCCAAAAACATCTGAAGGGCCGAGTTGGAGGAAGCCTGAGTTATGGCATAGAGAAGAGCATTGGTAGTTAAGAACCCAAGAAGAGCTCTGTTGGAGAAGACCACGGATGCCTCTGGTCCACCACCCTGTCCTCATGGGGACCAAAACAGATGTCTATGAGACACTCACAAGCAGAATCTGAGTGTAACCTGCACCTTCCCAGCAGCAACTGGTTTTCAGAGGCGCACTGCCTCCAACAGCGCAGGTAGAGCACACCCATTGTGGGCAGTCATGGTGCTTTAGTAAGTTGAGTTAATAGCGCACTGTGTGAAATGCTGTATGGCACCAGCAGCAGGGCATTTCAATTCTGCTCCCAAGCAATTGCTGGAAAGCAGTTCCTCAGCAGGGAGGATGCACTCAGTGTTATCTGCAGAGTGTTTCTGAGCAATTAATCAGTATGCTGGTCTGAATGGCACATCCAGTAAATGCTTGTGTATTTCTGTAACAATGAATCACCCATTTAATACCCAGCACTACTAAGTACTGCACATAGAGCAGAATTTATTATCCCTGCGGCCCAAGTATTTTAACCTCTTTGCTCCTGGTAGCATTAATGGTCTCACTAGTTTTGGGTGCAGCTCTGGTTTTTTTGCCGGGGGTGGGGGAGGCAAGTTACATGTTTGAAATTTTAGCCAAAGGACTCATTGAAACACGTTGGCTACAAAATTCCTTCTTATTGTACCTGGGAAACATAATGAAATAATTGCAGGAGCTGTATACAAAATAAAATATTATTAGCGCACAGGATGTTGTTGTTTTATTTTATTTTTTAAGTGCAAAGCAGGGGCATATAGAAATGTGTATGTTTTACAATGACGGCTCTGTTTCTCCACTTTATCACCTGGCTTGCCATAAAACAAAACAAAACTTTACTGCTCGTTTTTGGCAAAGCACCCTCACTTGGCTTTCTATCCTATGCTATTTAAGGAACAGATTTTTGTTTTATTTTTTTGAAATTGGTGCTAAAATAAATAGGTGTGCTGAAAAACTGGGGTAATATAACTCAGGCTGCAAGGTTAGGGGCAAATGCATGGGAGCAGTGTGAATGCCACTGCAGACGAGGGTGCAATTGCAGTAGTGGGACCAGGATGTGGCCCAGATCTGCAGGGGGACATTGGGGCATTTTGCATACAGCGAGAAAACATCTTGGACCACCCCAGTAGCCCCATACACATAATTGCTTGAAAATTATATGAAAACAGACCCCTCAGTGCAGTTGCAAAAGGTTCAGTCCACTGCCTTGATTCAAAATGGCTTCCAGTTGTATCTCAGCATCGATGAAAATCTGCTCATTGATTTCAGTAACCATCATGCAAAATCTGGTACAGTATCTTAAGGCAGTGTTTCCCAACCGGTGTTCCGCGGCACACTAGTGTGCCGTGAGACACCGGCTGGTGTGCCGTGGGAGGGAGGCGGGCGAGTCGGGCGGCGAGAGGCGGGCGGCGGCGGCGAGCACACGCGGGGCGGCGAGCGAGCGAGCTCCCACATCCCATCGCCGCTCGCTTCGGCCGGCCTACTGGAGGAAGGCGCGAAAACCCGGCGGGCTTTTGGGTGGGCGCCAAGCAAGAAAGGCGGGAAGGCTCTGGTCCCTCCCCTCCCGGCGGGGCTCCCGCACGCACCTTTCTGCGCCGCCGGCGTCCCGCCTGAGCAGCAACAGGAGGAGGAGGAGGGAGGCCAGCGCCGGCCGGGTCCCCCGGGGGAGCGGGCGCTCCGGGCTGCTCACCATACCCCGCGTCTCGGGCGCAGCAGCCGGCAGTCCGAATGCATCCCGAGCCGCGCTGCTCTCGCCTTGCCTCCTTCTTCGCGCCTCCTCCCGGCTCGCGCGCCGTCCCTGCGCGGATCCGTCCAGCCTCCGGCCGCCGCCGCCGCCCCCTCCTCTTCCTCTCCTTCCCCCACCCACCAACCCGCACGGCGCGCTCCCACCGCCCCGATGGGCGGCAACCACTTCCGGGTCCGCTGCAGCCGCCCCTTCCCCGCCTCCGGCAGCCGAAAGTCCCCCAGCGGAGCCCGTCTGGCCGCTCCCCCCGCTCCCTGCCCACCTCCCGGTGTTGAGGCGCCCTCTTTCATTGCTTCGCGGGGAGGGAAAAAACTTTGACTTTTGTGCGTCCCTCCCGGCGTGACGCTGCGCGCTGACGTCACGGGGCGGGGCTTTAATGGTGGTGTGCCGCGAGATTTTTTTCCGGTAAACAGGTGTGCCGTTGCCCAAAAACGTTTGGGAAACACTGTCTTAAGGGATATTTAAATGCACAGCAAAGATGACAAATTACTTTCCAAAATATCTAGTAGATGTTTTTTGGGAGGCAGCGTATGATAAAAATCTTCATTTCCCCCTGTCGTTGGCTACTTTTAAGGAAATCCATTGATGTTCTTGTACTTCATCACAACAAACTTTTCCATTAAAGTATTGGAAACAAATACATTTTGTGGCATAGATACAGCCTCTCCGCTGGGTGAAATATGTGACTATTCGAACCATATGTTAAAAAGTAACAATGACAAATGGTTTGTTAGTAAATACTCCCAACAAATCTGTTGGTTGTTAATTGCTAGGAAGAAAAGCAGGGGGGGAGGGGACACCGAACCCTCTGCCAACCTTTTTAATTCAAGAAGTCATTTAGATTTTATTGCAGAGCATTAGAATGATTAATGCTGGAAGAGGAATATTTAATCTCCAATGGACAGCGCTGATTTAGTTTTCTTTGTTCCTTACCTTTCACTGGAAGGACTTATCAGAGGTGGGATTTCAGGTTTTCATTTCAGTTGTTGCCAAGTTGCAATCAGCAATTAATTAGCCTCGTGGGTGATATTACTCACTTTGAACTGGGAACCGGACAATCCCTGAAGAGTATCTTGGCTCTAAGCTTCTGCAGGGACACACACAGAGACACACACACACACACACACTTTTAAAAAAAAATCAGGGGTGCAAAGCCTTTTCCAAGCCAAGGGCCACAATCTCTTCTGACTAATCTTCCAGGGGCCACATTCCACTGGTGGGCAGGGCCAGAAGTAAAAGTGGGTGGAGCAATTAATGTAATTTCATAGGCTAGTTTTTACACATTCTCAGCCCCTTTGTCTGCCAGCCAGGCAAGCAACAGGCATTATTATCCAAATTCAAGGACACATTCCAGGCAGGCAGAATTTTCTAGAGTGTGACTTCATTATACAGCTTTAGGCGCTAGGCAAAAACATCCCTCTTTAACCAGGCCTTTGGCTGACTGGCATCCTTTTAAAATGTGTTGGGGAGGGGGGGAATGTATTGTGTTGTCTTTGTTTTCATTATGTACAGTATTTTGTGTCTTTATACTGTGATTTTATGTTGAAACTGCCCTGAGACCTGCTGGTATAGGGCGGTATACCAATTTAATAAATAATAATAGTAATAATAGGTCCTGTGAGGAGTGTGGCCTGGGCTGAGGGTGTGTGTATGAGGAGAGTTCTGAGGGCCTGAAAATAATTCATGTAAAATGCATATTCAAAGTAAACATGGTTTTTTTCAGAGGCGTCCCCACCACCATCACCAAATAATAGAAATAAATGACTGAACTTTTACATGCATGCATATTTAATTTCGCAGAGAATTGCATAAATATTGTATTTGGAGATTCTAGAACACCCCATTAAAATTGCAAGACATTTCCATTATCCCTTTTATAATAGAATGTGGAATTAGGAGCTCATCTATGGAAATAAAATGAAATAAAAAATTCTCAACTTCTTATCTTCCCTTTTGTCCTCTAAGCGCCGTAAACGCACAGAGAGGCTCGTATGTCTGGGCTTTGTTTTTCATTAATTAGATTTGGAAAACAGCCCATTTTCTTTCTCTGGGCTCTGTTGCTTTTTGAAATAAATTCTAATCAAGGATAAGAATGCTAGCTGCTTAAGCACTAGAGTTTCGTGGGGACCAGGAAGGTACACAAAGGTGTTTAGTACAATGTTTAAGAGAGAGAGTCAGTGTACACACCATATACTTAAAACACATTTCCCACTCCCAAGAATGCAGGGAACTGTAGTTACACCTCACCGAGCTACAGCACCCTTAAGAAACTACAGTTCCCAAGATTCTTTGGGCAAAGCCACGTGCTTTAATTGTATGGTGTGTACACAGCCAGAGAAGGGAGCTAACTGTCCCTTATTTACTATCCTCTGTTTTCTTGTACCCGCTGCTGGTGAATCTTCTATCCCTCAGACAATTTGCATGACATTTTTCACAGTGGAGGGTGTTCTACTGCTGCTTTAGTTGTTTCTCTCTTTCCCCAACCCCCTTTTGCCTCCTGCTATAATCACATATGTTCCAAGAGTCTCTATCTTTCTTACTCGTTAGGTGTATTTTTAACATTTCCTTTCCCTCCTCTCTAGGTTTATTAGAAAACAAGGGCTGGACAGGCTTTTCCTGGAATGTGATACCCACATGTGGCGCCTTGGTGACCGGAAGATTCCGGAAGGAATAACGGTGGATGGCGGGTCAGATTGGTTCCTCCTGAACAGGAAGTTTGTGGAATATATCACCTTTTCTAACGATGACCTGGTGACAAAGATGAAAAGGTTCTACTCCTACACGTTACTCCCAGCCGAGGTGAGCAAACTTTCGGAGAGCCCTGTCCCACCACAGAAAAATAAAAACAGCACAGGGGTAATTCCTGAATGCCTGAATTATAGCTGTTCAGTTTTATGAAAGGCTTTTCCCTTTGGTTATTGGTTGCTTGCTTGCTTGCTTTGAAGCTGCTCCACTTTAACATACATTACCTTTCAAAAAATCAAGGCCAGCCCTATCATTAGGCAGGGTGAGGAAGCTGCCTCAGGTGATGGAACCTGATTGGTATGTTGTGGAGGGAGCGGAATTCTTGCCGGCTGTTCCTCCTGAGTTCATGGAGGACAAGGCTATCAAAGTGGCTCCTCATCATGTCTACTGCCTTCCAAGGTCAGAGGTGGCATTCCCCTGAACGCAATTCCCTGGTGAGAAATGATGGGGGAATGCTGTTTCCCTCTTGTCCTGCTTTGGACTTCTCACAGGCAGCTGGTTGGCCACTGTGGGGAGGGGGGGAGGAAGGATGCTGGACTAGACAGGCCTTTGTTCTGATCAAGCCGAGCTCTCTTTTTGTTCCATGAGGAAGAAGTATGTTACAATCACCCTCCTTGATCAGACCCAATGTCCACCTAGTCCAGGGGTCAGCAAACTTTTTCAGCAGGGAGCCAGTCCACTGTCCCTCAGACCATGTGGTGGGCCGGACTATATTTTGAAGGGGGGGAAATGAACAAATTCCTGTGCCCCACAAATAACCCAGAGATGCATTTAAATAAAAGGACACATTCTACTAATGTAAAACATGCTGATTCCTGGACCGTCCGTGGGCCGGGTTTAGAAGGCAGTTGGGCCGGATCCGGCCCCTGGGCCTTAAGTTTGCCTACCCATGACCTAGTCCAACCTTTAGTGTTCCACCAGAAGCCCCAGGCGTAAGCCCAGGGCCTTTTTTTCAGCTGGAATTCGCTGGAACTGAGTACGGGAGGCCTTTTTTTGACACGGCTGCAGCCCCCCTAAAAAAAAGCTCAACAAGTCCCAGCACCTCTTTTTCTAGGAATAAAAAGCCCTGCATAAGTCTAAAGCCAATGTTTGACCCACAGCAGCTGGCATTCAGCAATTGAACAGGGAGACTCAGTTTAGCTATCATAATGAACAGCCTAAGTCAGCCAAACCTGTTGCCCTCCAGATATTTGCAGGCTACAGCTCCCGCCATGATTGATCATTGGCTACACTGGCTGAGCCCAACAGCATCTAGAGGGCAACAAGATAGGGAACGGTAGCCTAAGCTCTGTGAGATTGAGAAAGTTTGTGGCATATGGGGTTTTCAGTTAAGAGGAAGGGTGAATAAGAAGCAACATGATACAGTTTGCAGAATTATGCGTGGCATGAAGGAAATGGCTAGAAGAAAGGATTTCTCCCTCTTTCATAACACTAGAACTCGTGGACGTCCGTTGAAGCTGAATTTTGGGAGAGTCCAAGAAAAGAAAGTACTTCTCCATGCAGCACCTTGTTAAACTATGGAACTCCCTCCTGCAGGACGGCTGCCAATTTGGATGGCTTTAAAAGAGGTTTAGGGATGCGGGTGGCGCTGTGGGTTAAACCACAGAGCCTAGGACTTGCTGATCAGAAGGTCAGCGGTTCAAATCCCTGCAACGGGGTGAGCTCCCATTGCTCGGTCCCTGCTCCTGCCAACCTAGCAGTTTGAAAGCACGTCAAAGTGCAAGTAGATAAATAGGTACCGCTCCGGCGGGAAGGTAAGCGGCGTTTCCGTGCGCTGCTCTGGTTCTCCAGAAGCGACTTAGTCATGCTGGCCACATGACCCGGAAGCTGTATGCCGGCTCCCTCGGCCAATAAAGCGAGATGAGCGCCACAACCCCAGGGTCGGTCTTTTACCTTTAAAAGAGGTTTAGATGAATTCATGGAGGAGAGGGCTATCCACATCTATTGGGCATGATGACTGTGCTCTGCTTTCATTGAAATTATTCTGAATGCCAGTCATTGGAAGCCACAGGAGGGGAGAGTGCCTTTGTGCTCGGGTCTTGCCTGCAGGTTTCCCACAGGCATCTGGGTGGCTACCGTGAGAACAGGATGCTGGACTAGATGGACAAAATTGTCACAAAGCCCATGTCCAATGCTACCATCTTGTGGCGGCGGATTCCATAAATTATGTGTTGCATTAACTGGGTTTTTTTCTTCCTCTGTCATTCTCATTAGTAATGGTGACCAAAAGTTATATTAAGTGTGTAGGTGACATCCATCTTTCTTCTATCCACTAGAGTAATGCAGTCAGAAGACGACTGATCCCCTTTCTCCTTTTCGCTTACACATATATTAAATGTCCTCCTTTTAATCCTGCTTCTCCTAAAGGGAAACGAAAGGTATCGTCTTCCCTTTCAACTCTGTTAACCTTTTATTCTGCTTATCTTTGCAACGGCCTTCTCTGCTAGTATAAAAGGACAGGGCAGTGGGTAATTGGGTAGGTTTCTCTTCCCCTCCCCTCCTCAGTCCCGGCTTTTTGCCTGAATGACAATGTATGCCTTAATGGGTTTAACTAGACAATTCAAGCGTAAAATCCATATTCACTGGCCTGTCATTTAACATTTTTTTAAAAGGGGGCAAGGGGCTTGTCCAGGGGGATAGGCGGTCAACCATACTAATGCCATTCCGTGTGTCTGTAGATCACCCTATAGTTGATATTTCACAAAAGAACTCACTGTTCTGTAAAGGCCTTTTGCTTTTTCACCACCCAATGTTTATCATGTTTCAGTTTTTCTACCCACAAGATTTCCTCGGCTAGGTTTTTATCCGACTCCTTCAAAATAATAATAAAGATAAATAACTAGGGAGCCCACTCTCATGTTAACCTAGCCCGGCCTTGTCCAACCTGATGTGCGGAAGTGTTGGACTGTAACTCCCATCAGCCCCAGCCACACAGTCTGTCAAGGAAATTGGGAGTTGTAGCTCATAACATTGGGGGGGGGCATAAGGTCCGGGAGAAGAAAAATCCTCTCCACTGTCCCAAAAAACAAAGCCTCCCTGGACATGGGAAGATAGGAAGCTGCACTTAAATCGAGGCCACATTCACTCCATACATTTAAACCACAAGGATACTGCTTTAAACACTTGTGGCTTGTCCCAAAGAATTGTGGGAGCTGTAGTTTGCTAAAGATGCTGAGAGGTTTAAGGAGACCCCTTCCCCCTCCCCTGCAGAGCTACAATTCCCAGAGTATGATAACAATAAGTCTATTCGAACAGGGAACTCTGTGAGTGATCCTAACAACTCTCAGCACCCTTGACAAAACTAACCAGGTCCCAGAATTCCTTGGGTGAAGCCATAACCATTAAAGTGGTGCCATAGCGCTTTAAATGTATAATATGAATGTGGCTCTCCAAGGCTTCAGTCAGGGGTTTTTCTCAACCCTAACTGTAGACGCCAGAGATTGAATCTGGGGTCTCCTGGATACCAGACAGATCCTCCGCCCCCCACCCCAGTTATGAATGTCGTCAAAACTCCTCAGAGATGCTGGGGACCCAGTAACTGCCTGAGGGTGCCTTGTGGTGGCGCTGGGCCTGTCAGTCTCCATTACTATGGGATTTAAGTAAACCCTGAAATTACAGTGGTATAATTAGAAGAAGAAGAAACCCATTGGAATTTCTCACTGCCTTGCATTGGCAAATAGACTTAGCAGCTTCGGAAATAATTGCAAGAGACAGAGCGTCCCTTCTGTTGCCTTAGGGGCAAACTGGGTCTTTCACTGCGAGGTCATTTTCACCTATGGGCACATTGCAACTTCCAAATAAATCAGCCGTAGTAGACAGAGAGGAATTGGCTTGGTTGGGTGGCTGTCTTTTCTTTTATTACTTTTACTATTTCCTCACGTTAACTGGTGGGAGATTTTGACCTTGAAATCACCACCACCACATTGGGAAATTTATCTGAGGGGAAAAGGTCCCTGGCCCTACCTGACTGGAGATGCAACTTTAAAATGCAAAACAACGGAATTAAATATGATCTCCTCCTCCTTCAGGTGCTCCTTCCTGTGGCGCTTTTCAGTGTTGGTGTTATAAAACCACTTTCCTGTTCCAGAAATCTAAAATGCAATGACTGTCCCAGGCTATCTTCTAGAATTGTCATTTTTAAATAATTAATAGGGAAATTTTCCTCAAGGTTAATCCCCTCCCCACTACAGCAAAACACGCACACACCAAAAAAAAACCACAATGAGAGATCTTGTAATAATCAAAAATACCGAACACATCAATTAAATTATTAAAACAGCAGCCAGAGAGAGAGAGAGAAAACAATGTATTCGATTTTAAAATGCATTGACACAGCAGCTTAATAAAATCTCCTCTGTCTTCCTAAAATGCAAGAGAAAAGGGGTCAGCATAACTTATTTTGGGGAGGGAGCTTCATAATCTTGGTACCAGGGCTGGATTGAGGTTTGATGAGGCCCTAAGCTGCTGAAGGTAATGGGGCCCTTTATATGTCCAGCTGTCCTTTGTCAACAACAAATTGTCGCTGTTTTTTGTGTGTTGAATACATGCTATATGGTAATTTATGGACCTAATAGGTATCTTTGCACATAGCAAAATATGTATTTTATCAAAGTAATTGTTGAACTTATCTTATATTTTGGAAATGTACATCCAGTGGGGTTTTTTCCCTTTAATTTTTTTTGGGGGGCCCCAAGAGAGCGGGGCCCTAAACTATAGCTTGTTTAGCTTATACGTAAATGCGGCACTGCTTGATACCCTTGAGAGTCTTTTTGGCAAAAGGGTGAGGTATAAATGCTGCAAATAAATAAAATACAGTGAAACTTGGGTTACATACGCTTCAGGTTACAGACTCCGCTAACCCAGAAATACTACCTCGGGTTAAGAACTTTGCTTCAGGATGAGAACAGAAATCGTGCTCCGGCAGCGCGGCAGCAGCAGGAGGCCCCATTAGCTAAAGTGGTGCTTCAGGTTAAGAACAGTTTCAGGTTAAGAACGGACCTCCGGAACGAATTAAGTACTTAACCCGAGGTACCACTGTAGTAATAACACACACACACACACACACACACACACCCCAGCGGTCCACAGAGAAAAATGGTTTGAGAACAAGTGCAGCGCACTACGTGATCTCTTCAGCCCAGTGGCATAGCGTGGGTTGTCAGCACCCGGGGCAAGGCAAGTAATTTGCGCCCCCTAACCCGTGGATTTGCGCCCCCTAACCCGTGGATTTGCGCCCCCTAACCTGTGGATTTGCCCTAACCCCAGATGTTGCGCCCGGTGTGGCCGCCCCCCCCCTGCACCCCCCACGCTACGCCACTGCTTCAGCCCATATGCTTGTAACCATCTCTTAATGTGCTTGACTCCATACATTTAAGCATTCCTACCCCCACTTTAACTATAATGGTTAAGGGTGCTAGGAATGGTAGCTCTGTGTGGGCAGCACCCTTAACAAACTACGGCTCCCAGGATTCTTTGGTGGAAACCGTATCGTTAAAGCACGGGATGGATGTGACCGTAGTGTCCTCTCACTCTAATGTACCAACGCCACTGAGTTTTGTGTTTCTCCCCGCCTCCCAACAGTCTTTCTTCCACACCGTCCTGGAAAACAGCCCTCATTGCAACACAATGGTAGACAACAACCTGCACATCACAAACTGGAACCGCAAGCTGGGTTGCAAATGCCAGTACAAGAATATTGTGGACTGGTGCGGCTGCTCCCCTAATGATTTCAAGCCGGCCGATTTCCACCGATTTCAGGTAAGTTAGTATTTTATCAGGTTTGTTAGTCACGCCGTCGTAAGGCTGGATCCAGCAGGTCTTTTCTTATGTTCTCATGTGTGAGAGTTGGAGTCCATCATTAACTGGAGGACACCAGGCTGACAGCTTCTGCTCTATCCCATACTGTCTGCTTTACCTGACAGCAGCTCTCCATGAGTTCTGGTCACTGTCGCCTGGTCCTATTACATTTCTTTTTTAAAAGATGATGCCAAGGGTTGAATCTAGAATCAGCTGCCCTTCCTTCCCACAGAAGTTCCATCTGGTGTTTCTGTCCATGGTGTATCTAGAGCTTTCAATGTTAGTTTTTTTAAAGAATCTAGTTCAAGCTCAACATGTCCAGAAAGGAACCAATGCAAGTTCGCCTTCATCCCTTTACATAACAAGCTAGTTCAGTTCACAGTTCAATTCAAATTCAACCAAATGACCCTCCCCCTAAAAAAACAACCCCAACATGCAGAATGTTACTGGCTGCTGTGCTGAAGTATAAAATATCATTAAAGAAGGCTAAGAAGATATCCAAAAACTCATGCACACAGTGGAATGTGAATTGTTTACTTATAGCTCGGTCAGCAGAGCATGAGTCATGGGTTTGAGTCCCACGTTGGGCAAAAGATTCCTGTATTTCAGTGGGTTGGACTAAATCTGACCCTCGTGGTCCCTTCCAACTCTACAATTCTATTATTTTTTTGGCTCATCTTTTCATTCTATGATTCTATTTTTCCTCAGAAATTACGATCTTGAAGCTTAAAGGCCCAAAGTGTCTGAAGCATAAAAAAACCCCCACACATGTAAGAGAATGAACTTGATGTTGAACTGGAAATCGGTCGAAGTCCTGCCCCAAAATGAATTTAGTTCACATTCTGTTCTCAGCAATTATGGGAGCTATATGTTCAGGCATAGTCCAGATATTTTTGAACTCATTCAGTAAACTTCATTAAACCAAACTAGTTCATGCCAAACACTGGGTGGAGGGCTCCCACTTGCACAAATGAGGTCCCAGGTTCAGTCGCTGGCATTTTCAGTTTTAAGCATCTCAGGTAGCTGGGTTGCCCAACAAGTTCTGGAGGGTCACTGATTTCCCACCCCCTGCCCAAAAGTAAACCTGTGTTCCTGGTGAGAATGCTTCATGCATTCCAGGCATTCTGGCTGCAAATGGAGAGAATAAACATAATTGGAGCCACTCCAAAGGCAAATTTGACGGGTGGTGTTGACTTTTCAGAAGGCATGTTGCACCTTTTGATCTTGGCGCTTTCAAGCTTGACACTTTCTATCCCTCTATATTAAAAAAAAATGTGCAGAAAACAAAGAAGGCTTTTACAGTCTAACAGAGCAGTGTTAGAGAAACACATAAATCGTGAGCAGCATCCCAGTTCAGCCTGTTATAGAAAAATGTAAGAGCCCCCCATCACCAGCATCCACTTTCCCAAACACTTGTTAACATATCATGGCTTCCACAGACACCAGTGTACCCACCAGTGCGTCCTGTGGTGTTCACAAAAGGTATGAGTAAATATCCCCTCAAAAATACACAAGATACAATTTGCTTTCCCTGCTCATTTCCTGTTTGCACTGACTCAGCCTCTCTTACATTGAAGCTTTATGTCCTGCCCTCATGGCAGCCATTTTAAGTTATGGCACCCACCCACCTACCCATGGCAGCCATTTGTGTTATGCCAGGCTCAAGGCAGCCATTTTGTGAATGATGCCAGCAGCACTTTCTCAAAATTCTAAATGTGCTCATTGGCCCAGAAAGGTTGGCAACCCCTGTACTCAAACAGCAAATCACCCATACACAGAAGTTCACAATTAAGTTACTGGGTCTCATCTTTTTGATAATCATTCTTCCAACCTGCCAGGACTGTGTTGACACTTTGCCAGTGGCTTTTTCTCTCCCCCCCCCCTACCCCCGGTTTCTCTGCATCTGAACTTTTTATGTCCCTTTTTGTTGGAATTTTCTGACATCCGTTCTTGCATCAGAATGACGTGTAAGGTGGGAATCTTGTGTTCTTCAAAAAAAATCCACAGAAACCACGTTGTAAAAAAATTGTTCTTATTGACACAGCAAACCACAAGACCCACCTTCTTTGCGCGCAAATTTGAAGCGGTGGTGAATCAAGAAATAATTGGCCAGCTGGATTACTACTTGTATGGCAACTACCCATCGGGCACTCCAGGCCTGAGATCGTACTGGGAGAATGTCTATGACGAACCAGACGGGATCCATAGCATCAGTGACGTCATGCTGACCATGTACCACTCATTTGCTCGCTTGGGCCTGAGGAGAGCAGAAACCTCCTTCCACACTGATGGTGAAAACAGCTGCCGGTAAGTTCAGAGTTCCTTCAGTCTACAGCAGGTGGCAAGTACCTCTTCTCCTCCATGCAGCTGAGGTCTACATTCCCTCTGGGCTAATCTGTCAGCAGCTGCAAACCAATGGGGATCAAAAAGCTAAGCTGGTGGGCTCAGGACAGTCAAAAATGAGCAGGGAGTCCGCTTCTCCCTGTTTCTCTCTCGCCAATCTCCAGTCTCCATTTCTCTTTCTCTCCAATAATACCCTTTTCACTCTCTTTCACTCACGGATTGCGACTGCACATTTCAGCTTTATTTATTTATGTAGACAACAAGGGTAAGGTAAAGGTAAAAGGACTCCTGACCATTAGGTCCAGTCGTGACCGACTCTGGGGTTGCGGCGCTCATCTCGCTTTACTGGCCGAGGGAGCCAGCATAGAGCTTCCAGGTCATGTGGCCAGCATGACTAAGCCGCTTCTGGAGAACCAGAGCAGCGCATGGAAACGCCGTTTACCTTCCCGCCGGAGCGGTACCTATTTATCTACTTGCACTTTCGAACTGTGCTTTTGAACTGCTAGGTTGGCAGGAGCAGGGACTGAGCAATGGGAGCTCACCCCGTCACGGGGATTCGAACCGCCGACCTTCTGATCGGCAAGTCCTAGGCTCTGTGGTTTAACACACAGCACCACCCGCATCCAGACAACAAGGGTAGCACTTGTCTAATATTTACATGGGATGGAATTCCAGAAGGGGGATGCCATAGCATTAAAAGCCAGATTTGTATATCATGAGGCGTGGACTCTGCAAGAGGCCCTGTCCTGCAGAGCACAGTGATTGATTAAGTATATAAGGGGCAAGATGGATATTTTAGGTATCCTGGTCCCAAGCTGTACTATAGAGGAGTTTATACACCACAACCAACACCTTAAACTTAGCCCAGTAGCCAGCTGGCAGCCAGTGCAATTTTTAAAAGTTTGTGAGTCTGGGAGCTGCCATTTAAATTTCCCACAGGACCCGCAAATGCCGAATCGCCCCAAGGGGTTGTGGTGAACGTAAATGGCAGCTCTCAATAGCTCTCAATTAACTGCTGCGGATTGAGAGTCCTTGCTCTCTGGGGTCCCATCTCGGTGCCCTTTGCCAAGCCCCCACCCCACCCAGGCTTAAAAACAGAGGTTTAAGAAGTAGTGCAGCACATCTTCATTCCAATGAACTCAACATCACTGTAGCTGTAAGAGCCTCACCCACTGCCAGACCACTAACTCTGTTTCTCTGCAGCTAATCAGACTCTTCTCCATTGGCATTTATGTTTTCCAGATATTACCCAATGGGCCACCCATTCTCCGTCCAACTCTACTTCCTTGCTGATCATTTTCAGGGTTTCCTTGTCAAGCACCATGCTACCAATCTGGCTGCCAGTAAGCTGGAGACCTTAGAGACATGGGTGATGCCCAAAAAGGTGTTCAAAATTGCAAGTCCACCAAGTGATTTTGGAAGGCTGCAGTTCTCTGAGGTAAGCATCGCTGTTATCTTTTTTTCTTCCCTTCCTCTTTTAAACTGAACAGTAGTTTCCTTTTCTTTGTTCTGAAACTACCATGGCTCCTACTTCCTAACTGAGGCCAGATCTTCCAGATATGGACTTCTCCACACTTTCATTTGACCCCTATTTTGACTGCACTGTGTTGTGTACCAATTCATTCCCCTGGGTCCCAGAGCTTTTCTCACTGTTCTGAGGCTATACCTTGAGAAAATCCAATCTTGCCTGGAAAATTCTTATCAGGTGTGCAAAAAATTCAAAGAGAGATGTAAAACCCACATTGGGCAAAAACAAAACCTGCATTGCATGGGGTTGGACTTGATGACCCTTAGGATCTCTTGCAACTCTATAATTCAGTGATTGTAAGCTTTAGTTCAGCAGGTAAGATCAGATTTTCTTAGCCTGCCAAGGAATTTCGAGGGGATGTTTCCTTGTAATAATTGCTTTAAATTGTTTTTTATTTAATCCCCACCCTTCCTTCAAGGTGTTCAGGATTGTGTACATAGTTCTCTCCCACCCCCAACATTTTATCCCTCCAACAACCCTGCGAGGTAGTCTGGGAGAGTGACTGGCCCAAGGGCATCCAATGACTTCGATGGCTGAGTTGGATTTTAGTCTCCCTGATTTCAGTCCGACTCTGTCAAGTGCTAAACTGCTCTCATCCTGAGCCACACATTCTTTGCAAATGGCACAGCTGCCTAAAGCTATTTATTTCATCATTTTTTCTTGCTAAATCACAAATTTTAATTAAAGCCCACACAGCTAATTGAACAAATTTTTGTTCATAGTCATTATGTCCTGGCCTATAAATTCTGCATTTTCTTTGGCAATTGAGAGAGGCTTAGGTAGGCTTCAGTGTTTTTAATGGCATGTGTGGCAAATTGGCGACATTAATGTCCTATTAAGGAGATGGATGCTGGTCTTGTTCTGTTTATTGAGATATCGGTGGATTGAATTGCCGTTTTCATGTCCTGACAAATGATCGCACCAACTGTATTTCTTGGGATTGGCAATTCTTCTGTTGTTTTGCTGGTGTGAGGGCATCTCGCAAGTTAATGAGAAACGCACATGCAAGATAACACCTGAAACAGTATGTCTAGGTTTTGCTTGCAGTATAGTCACAAACATCAACCTAACCTATTAAAAATCCCATTGGCTGAACTCAAATTGGGGGCTGGCCAACATTGGTCAACATCGTTCAGCATCCGCCAAGGCCTACAGCTTTCCCAGGGGCTCCTATTTGGCCCTACTGCTGCTGCTGCACCTCCTACTTACAATTGCTGCCTGCTCACCTGCCTTCTCCAAGAATCAGCAGCCTCAGGACTCATTTTTCAGGGGTCAGAATTGATACTCCTCCATTAGCATCAGAGCCTTAAAAATTGGACCAGGCCGATACATGTCCTTGGCAACAGTCAATCATATGATCAATTCCCGCAGAAAGCAGGGTTGAAGTCACTGCCTTGCAGCTGATGGGAACTTGATCATCCTACAGAAATCAGCTTTGCAAGCCCTATACTCAGTGCTCATCAAGCAGCTCCCATGTGCCTGACAACTAGCTGGCTGTTGGAAAGCACCCAGCCAATTTAACTAGTGGTTGGGGCAACGCATCTGTCAATCATCAGATTCCATCATGATGTCAGGTGACTGGCCAACCAGGTGATTGTCCCACCCACCAGTCAATGTTGGTCTGCGGGGGTGAGGATCAAGAAGGTTCCAGCCTACCAAGCCAAAAAGGTTTCCCATCCCTGGTAGTGACAGTACTGAGCCAGATAAACCCTATTTTGTTCACTGGGGCACAGAGATGGGGAGCCTATGGTTTTCCAGATGTTGCTGGACTACAGCTCCCATGACCCTTCATTGTCAGCCATGTTGGCATTGGCTGTGGCTGTTGGGAGTTGTAGTCCAACAACTTCCACAGAGTGGCAGTTTCCCAGAAGGAGGTTAATTCCATATGACGTACCGTATTTTTCGCTCTATAGGACGCACTTTTCCCCCTTCAAAAATGAAGGGGAAATGTGTGTGCGTCCTATGGAGCGAAGAAGCCATAGCCCCGCGACCCTCTCCCAGTTGGAGAGGTAACGCGCGGCTGTGGCAGGAGCCTCTATAGCCGTGCGTCACCTCTCCAACCGGGAGAGCGCGCACGCGGGGCTAAAGAAGCCCCCCGCAACCCTCTCCCAGCTGGAGAGGTGACGCGCGGCTATGGCAGGAACCTCTATAGCCGCATGTCACCTCTCCAACCGGGAGAGCGCGCGCGGGGCTAAAGAAGCCCCCCGCGACCCTCTCCCAGCTGGAGAGGTGACGCGTGGCTATGGCAGGAGCCTCTATAGCCGCGCGTCACCTCTCCAACCGGGAGAGCGCGCGCGGGGCTAATGAAGCCCTCCGCGACCCTCTCCCAGCTGGAGAGGTGACGCGGCTATGGCAGGAGCCTCTATAGCCGCGTGTCACCTCTCCAACCGGGAGAGCGCGCACGGGCTAAAGAAGCCCTCCGCGACCCTCTCCCAACTGGAGAGGTGACGCGCGGCTATGGCAGGAGCCTCTATAGCCGCGCGTCACCTCTCCAAACGGGAGAGTGCGCGTGGGCTAAAGAAGCCCCCCGCGACCCTCTCCCAGCTGGAGAGGTGACGCGCGGCTATGGCAGGAGCCTCTATAGCCGCACGTCACCTCTCCAACCGGGAGAGCGCGTGCGGGGCTAATGAAGCCCTCCGCGACCCTCTCCCAACTGGAGAGGTGACGCGCGGCTATGGCAGGAGCCTCTATAGCCGCGCGTCACCTCTCCAACCGGGAGAGCGCGCGTGGGGCTAAAGAAGCCCTCCGCGACCCTCTCCCAGCTGGAGAGGTGACGTGCGGCTATGGCAGGAGCCTCTATAGCCGCGGGTCACCTCTCCAACCGGGAGAGCGCGCGCGCGGGGCTAAAGAAGCCCTCCGCGACCCTCTCCCAGCTGGAGAGGTGACGGGCGGCTATGGCAGGAGCCTCTCCGCTGCGCGCCTTTCCGCTTCTCCCCAACCTGCTCTTTGGGGCTGGTGGTGGGCTCCCCCCCCCCCGCCAGCCCCAAGGAGCAGGTCGAAAGGAACCTGAAGCCTGGAGAGGAGAGGGGTCGGTGCGCACCGACCCCTCTCCAGGCTTCCTGAAGGCGACTGAACGCACCTTAAACGGCAACTTGTTTTAGAGGGGGAAAACAAAAGGGGAAAATTCTCCCCCTCTCTGCGCAACGCCTCCTGCCGCTTCGCTGAAGGGGCGCTGGGCAGATAGGGGGTGAATTTTTTTTTCTTGTTTTCCCCCCTCTTAAACAAGGTGCGTCCTATTGTCCGGTGCGTCCTATGGTGCGAAAAATACGGTAGGTATCACCTCTTCATTTGTGTTTGTGTTTTTTGTTTTTGTTTTTTGAGAAAGATGACGTCCGTCCAAAGGGAAGGAGAAAGATGGACTTGGGTTTCATTTAGGCATTCAGGGACTTCTGCACTAAGCCTTATCGGCGGAACTCGAAAAAAGTTTGTTTCTAGCCTCGTTAGCAGTTGCAATTCATCACAGAGAACAAAGTGAACTGGGCGGCAGGCAATTAGTGTCTTCTGTGTGGACCTAATGGTCCCCGTTTGTGGTGAGCAATGAGACACAAGCTAGTAATCAAGGCATAATTTATCTTGGGCAAATTTTAAGTGCAAACCCAAGCAGGGACCGGAATAAGTGATGCAAAAGCTGAGTAGGGAGTTAAGGAGCACCCCTCCCCCCCACCTTTTCAAAGGAAAACTGCAACTGAGTGGATTCTCTGATGGCACAGAAGTACAAGGGGATGAATGAGACACAATGGTGATCAGCCTGTCTGCAAGTACAGAAAGTGGTGACTTTGGGAGTTTAAACGCTCAGCAGAAGTGAACTTGATGCAGAATCCCTGTTGCAATGACACTGAGACTGAGTTTAGAAAAATAAGAAAGCTACCTTTATTGCAGGAAATGCATGCTTGATAGGACAGGTCCTAGTCCTGACCAGCTGGGGTGGAGAATGCAACTCTTGCATCTCAGCAGGAGAGAGACCAAGTTGGAGGCAATAATGCTTCTGAATGCCACTTGCTGGAAGCTGCAGGAGGACAGAGTCCTGTTGCGCTCAAGTCTTGCTTGTAGACTTCCCATAGGCATCTTGTGGACAAGATGCTGGACTAGGTGGACCACTGGCCTGATCCAGCAGGGCCGCACTTACGTGAACTGCATGGGGGAAGTCAAAAGTGAGTAACTGGGTCCCAATCTGCACATTCCTCCAGGAGGTGCCAATCAGGTCAGTTCATACAGGAATTATCGAAGATCAGATTCCTTAAGCATGATCATCCTGAGCCCCTGGATTTTCCCAAAGTTGAATTTGGCATTCTGATAATCGGTTCCTTTTATTCTTTCTGGCTGGGACAGGGGAGGAAATTCTTCCAGGTCTTGGAGATACTCAGATAAAATAAACACAATAGGGTTGTCACCTCCAACTTTGCTTTCTGTTTCTATGCTGTATACCAGCAGGCCAGATCCTTATCTTTCCCACCCCCTGAGGGCCACGTTAAATGGGTGGGTAAGGCTGCCAACCTGCCAATCATCCACCATCACAATGACAACTGGTGACCCATTTTTGCCCCAGCACTTTGAAGCCCCAACAATCAGCTGATAGTCGGGGCTTCAAATCTCCACACGCTGCTCTCTGCAAGGATCACCAACCAGTGGCTCAGTGGTGCTTGCAGAGAGACCTGAGTGATGATCTGAAGGCCCAAGAATCTGCTTTTGTCACCAGCGGAGGCACCGTCTCTTTGGTTTTGTGACTTCTGTACCTTCTTCCTCCTTGTGTGTGTGACCTGGGGGGTTCATAGTTTGCTGATTACAAATACTTTCAGCAACTGGTGCATGCCACATTTAATTGCAGTTACTTGTGTCCCTGTTGCCCCTTGGATAGTAGCAAACGATTACAGCTATCTCAGGCATAGCTGAAACATTGGGGTGATGGGGAGAGAACAGCTAAGAAAATGTAAAGTCTGTTCAATGTTTGTGGTTGGTTGTAAATCAGTGTAGTTCTATATAGAAACTTGTTGTTCTGTGATTCTTCCCTTCATTCCTGCCACCACCTACTGGGCATTAAAAAAAAATATCAGTTGAAGCTGTTCCAGGTGGTGTCAGGCTGAGCAGGCAACCTGCAGGTAACATATTACAAGCATCGGTGCTTTAGTTCCAACAAGAATTATGAAGGGTCCTCAGAAGTAATGCCGTGGCAAATGTAGATGTGCAGGTCCCCTTCATGATAAGTCACAGCTGTGACCCCCTCATAGCCACACCCCTTTCTGAGACCATACAACTTTCTATATTTATATAATGATCCTATGATTTTGCATTAATAATAATTAGGGATGCATTGCAATAATGCACTGGCTCTCTACTAGATCTACTATTTTCTATGCACATATAACTGGGGCAGATGGGGCTTGTCAGCCTGAGAAGGTAGCCCATCCCATCTAGGAGAAGCAAAACTCTGATCCTGAACTTCCACCACCTTGCGGGATATCTTTGGGAGAAGAACAGGCTAAGGAGTAAACCCTACACAAATCCAGAGTGGAGTCCCTAAGGCAATTGGATGGTACCTTGTACGCCTTCTTCCGGCATCTTCCGCAGCCAGGCTGGTGCCAAATGTATTGCTCTGCTTTTCTTTGGACCACATGAGCAAGAATGAGAAGGGGGTCTTGTTGTTTGGGTAGCCCAGGGCCTCCATACACGCTGCCTTGGCTTGCTCCTCAGAGAGGTCATTTCTGTGCTGTTAATGCAGCGGTTTGGCTTCATCCCCAGAGGTGCACTCCATTGTCTCTTGAGACAGACAGATGCCAACAAAATCATTTTGAGTATTTCAGGGAAAATCAAGTTATGTTTCCCTTGTATGTCACAGAACTTGCACACCATTCTCTTGAAACTCACACACCTTGTGTTTCCGGCATTCCTAAATGCTTAGGTTTAGAGCTACAGAACAGAAGAGCTCCACCACCTCAATGCTATTGCCACTTGCCTGTTCTAGAGCGACCCTAGGAGCCAGCCCTCAGGGACTGACTCGCCTCCTTTCAGTCTGGCTCCAGGGAGCACAAAAGGTGAAAGCACTTCTTCTCAGTTGCGCAAAAGCTCCCCCTTCATGCCGATTGGGTGGCCCCAGGGTGCTGGATATGAGGACCCTGCTGCAGGAATAGTAATTGGTCTTTGACTCCCTGCGACCCCACAGAACCCCATCTCTGGTCCCTAGCATTTAGACAGAGATTGCATTACAGATGCACAGGAAGGGTGGCTACTGGCTGCCTCCGTCAATCATTTAGCTTGATTTTTAAAGCAGCTGGTTGTTTCTTTCAGTGTTACCTGATGTGCAGTGTTTCTGTTTACCCTTCAGATTGGAACCGACTGGGATGCTAAGGAGAGAATATTCCGGAACTTTGGGGGACTCATTGGGCCCATGGATGAGCCAATCGGCATGCAGAAGTGGGGGAAGGGCCCCAACGTCACTGTTACTGTCATCTGGGTGGACCCCACAAACACCATCGCCGCCACGTATGATATCCTAATAGAATCCAGCGCGGAGTTTACTCACTACAAGCCACCATTGAATTTGCCTCTCCGCCCCGGAATCTGGACTGTTAAGATCCTGCATCACTGGGTCCCTGTAGCGGAAACCAAATTCCTGGTCTCTCCTCTGACATTTTCCAACAGGCAAAGCATCAGGCAAGGTAAGACCTTTTTGCGAACCAAACCGTTATTTGCAATTACAGCTTGGCCACAGGTGCTTAACTAAGATGGGGCTTGGGTCAGATCCAGAAAGCCTCTTCTTATTTTTCTCATAAGGTGATGGTGGCCATCAACTTAGATTGCATCAAAAGGGAATTAAGGAAATACAATGGAAGGTAAGGTTTATCTACGGCTGCTAGTCATGAGGGATACATGCTACCTCCAGGATCAGGCGGGGGGGGGATTGCCTCTGAATTGTCATTGTTTTGTGATTGTCAGTTTATTTACATACCATATTTTCCTCAAGCAAATCTCTGCTCAAAGCAGTTCACAAAGTCTAAATACAGTGATATGGTAACAATGCATAATAAGACATATAATATCACTGCAACATACTAAAAAATTGATAAGCAGCAATTAACACTTCATTTTGCATATATAAATATTTAAGTAAGCATGCAGCTGGAGAGTAATAGCAGACGATGAACACATTCTGCCTGTTGGTTTCTGTGCTGCATCCTAGGGGGGGGGGGAGACATGTCAACAAAAGCATGTTCCGTATCTTCCATAGGCTCACACCTAAGGGGTCAAAGAAGGCACTGACTCCTGTCCGGGCTGCTGTAAGGATGGATTTATTTCAGGTCCGTGGCTTCACAGGCCTAACTATTCCGGCCTGTTTCCGCTGTCCTGCTTCTCTGAGACTGCATCCTCCTGGGTCACATTCACACCATACGTTTAAAGCAGTATGATACCACTTTAAAGAATCAAGACGTCCCGCAAAGAATCCTGGGAGTGCTAATTTGTTAAGGGTGCTGAGAGCTGTTAGGAGGCCCCAATCCCCCTCACAGTTAAGCCATTCTGAGAATCCTCCTTCTGTGAGGGGAGCAGGGGTCTGCGAAGAACCCTCAGCACCCTTAACAACCTGCAGCTCCCATAATTCTTTGGGGGAAGCCATGACCATCTAAAGCGGTATTGTACTGCTTTAAATGTGTGGTGCGGATGTGGCAGAGGTTTCCTGTCCTTTCTCTTTTGGCTGAGGCAGCTGTATACCTCCCCTCCCATCAGGCAGGTGAATGGGAGGACACTGCCTAGCTCCTTCCAGAGCAGGAATCCAGGCAAGGATTCCTCAGAAGCCATTCCTTGTTTGCTGCTTGGTGGTAGGGGATCAGGGCCTGTTTAAAGGGCAAAGTGCTGGCGAATGAGCCCCTGCAACTCATTACAGCGTCCCAGAAGCATCTGGTTGGCCACCATAGGACAAAAAGATGCTGGACTAGATGAGCCTTTGATCTGATGCATCATGACTTCTTCTTAGTACAACACAGGATGCAGTCCAAACAAAGTTAAAGCACCGTTAACTTTCCTTAATTTCAGCAGAAGAGCCTGTTAGAGTCCAGCGCTTTGATAATGACCACAGAGATTCTACTGACTTGAGGAAGGAGTTCATTACTGGGGGAAAAACATTGCCCTTCTATTATTTATTGTACTGGTGCAACTCAAGGTGCAAGGGGTGGCTTTAGGTACTGATTATACGAAGGAACCAATGCAGTGCTGTCGTCTAAAATACAGGTATAGAAGGGGGACCTGTTGCAGTCTCAAGTGTTCCTCTTCAAGCAGACAGTCATGCCCTCTTCCAGGACGCTCCGTTCCTTTCCCACCCCCTTTTTCATTTCCATCTTCCCAAGGCTACATGCTAGTGATGGATGAGGCCAGAAGCACAAGGAGGCAGAGCAATGTGTGTATATTTTGCCTTTGTTCTGCAGCCCTGTGTAGGGAAGTTTTTAGTGTTTTTACGTCTTACTGTGTTTTCATTTGTTGGAAGCCGCCCAGAGTGGCTTGGGTAACCCAGTCAGATGGGTGGCATATAAATAATTTTATTATGATAGTTTCTATGCACCCTGACACCACCACCGCTCTCTAAGGCAAGCAAGAGGCATTATCAGGGTTCCAGGACACATTTCACAGCCAGGGAAGAAGAAAAAAGGAGCGAGACAAAGCAGGGGTGGTTCAAGATGTGGCCCAAGAGGATATGTGGCCTTGAGAGAGCCCCGAGAGCCAGACAGAGAGGTCTGAAGGGCCACATTTGGGAGCCTGAAGTCTGCACAGTTGGAATATCGTGGAGAAGGATACATGATTTCAAGAGGCACACTGAGATTAGAGCAGATGTTTAGAGGAGCATTCGCAGTGTGAGCTTTTGAGTGTGCCTCTCCAAGACCTTACAGTTCAGAAACATTATGCTGCATGCGGAAAAATTGTTACAAAGCCTCTTAGCTTTCTTTTCTTTCTTTTTTCTTCCTTTTTTCAGCATTTTTTCGCTTTGCCACCACTTGCATTACTTAAACTTACTTCTAATGCCAGATAAATGCTGTGAAACTGACAGAAAAATTAGGACATCTCTAAGAGCCATTTTTCTGATATTTTGTGAACAATGCCAAGGCTGCCACACACAGAAAATCACTACGCACCTCTAGATTCAAAGAACAGTGTAATGAGACCTGCCTTTTATGAAGGATAAATAATAGGGCAGAACTAAAGGATGGGGAGAGGGTAGCTCATTTTCCGTAAACTTCTTCAGCCACAGTGATTTCCCCACCCCACCCCACCCCCCACCCCACCCAAGGATCATGTCAAAATGGGGCTGAATGCCTATTCAGCCTGCCTCTGAATGACAGTTGCTGGGATTCGCAAGTGGGGACAGTTCAGCTATGCTCACGTCCAGCTTGTGGGCTTCTCACAGGCATCTGGTTGGCCAAGAACAGGATGCTGGACTAGATAAGCCCTTGGTCTGATCCAGCAGGTGCCTACAGTGAGAGCTCATGCCATCTGAATAAATCAGGTAGAATTCGACTGCCTTGGCAAGCGAATTATATGATCAAAGCCATAATAAGCCAGACAGAAACAGCATGTTTAATATAACTGAATAATCGGGGTTGGCCACAGGGGGCTTGCAAGGGAGGGGGTCACCTCAAAATATAAAACTTAAGTCTCAGAGAACCATGAAGAGTGTCCAAGCAAGGGAGACGGAGCCTTAGCCAATTTACAACAGAAGATCAAACCGTTGCCTCCTTTCACAAAAGGAAGAGCTTAGATAATTGGCACGAGTTGCAAATTACACAGGCGACGTGGCAGGAATTGTAGACACTAGTATGTCATTCCTGGCCCACAGACTCACTGGAACACACAGCATAGTTCTCCAAGTCTGAGAGGGCCTTCTTGAATGAAGGCATTTTGCCCTGGAGGTGGTATGTATGTTTTGGCAGAGTTCGGCGAGTCCCTTCCTGGCATTAACCCCAACCACCTCTATCCCAATTTCCATATGTGAATTTTGAGCTAGTTTCCTACAGGCAGTTTTAAGCACCTTTCATGTAGCACCGTGGACACTCAATGAAGCTGGATGTTAGAAAGTTCAGGACAAATGAAAAGAAAGCACTTACTTCTTCGCAGAGTGCAAAGTTAAACTATGGAGCTTGCTTCCACAGGAGGGCACCAAATTGGATGGCTTCAGAATCCCAATTGCTGGAAACCACAGGAGGGAAGAGTGCTCTCATGCTTGAATCCTGCTTGTTGGTTTCCCACAGGCAATTGTTCAGCCACTATGAGAACAGGATGCTGGACTAGATGGGCCCTTGGCCTGATTCAGCAGGCACTTGTTATGTCCATTCCAGTGATTGCTCTGTACAGTGGTACCACGGGTTACATACGCTTCAGGTTACAGACTCCGCTAACCCAGAAACAGTACCTCGGGTTAAGAGCTTTGCTTCAGGATGAGAACAGAAATCGTGCTCCGGCAGCGCGGCAGCAGCAGGAGGCCGCATTAGCTAAAGTGGTGCTTCGGGTTAAGAACAGTTTCAGGTTAAGATCGGACCTCCGGAACGAATTAAGTACTTAACCCGAGGTACCACTGTACTGCTTTTAATGAAGGGGGCGTTCCTATTTTTGTATTGCTACACACTGTGCCAATATTTCATTAGGAGGCGTGGTCTATGGGTACTTTTACGCAGAATTATTTATTTATTTATTTCATAAAATTTATACGCTGCTTGATTTGTCAAAGGGAACTCAAAGCAGTTTACAAAAAAAAAAACGTAAAGCAGTAAAATTATCACCAAGAAAAGTTAACAACAGTAATTTAAGACGTTCGAAAAATTAAGGTAGCAATAGATTAAAAACTCACGCCAACTTTCTAAACATCTGGGTAGCTTTGTCTAAACAAAAATGTTTTTAACATCCACTAGAAAGAGCACAGTGAAGGTGCCTGCCCGATATCAAGAGGCAGGGAGTTCCAAAGGGTGGGTGCCGCCACACTAAACCACCAAATGGTTTTGAATGGCAGCCCTACGCAGAGCGTGCTAATGGTAGTTTTGATCTGAAGGTCAGACTGATGTGAAGCATCTCAACTTTGGATTTCGGTTTGTTGTTGTTTTTACAGAAGAAGCCACGAGGTTGCACGGCGGACCTCCAAAGAACGCCTACATGGAGCAGAGCTTCCAAGGCCTCAACCCGGTTCTGAACATTCCCATCGACGCTGCGCAGGTGGACCAAGCAAAGAAGAATGCAGCCCTAACGGGCAGCAAGCTGGAGAACTGGGTGGACAAACTGGTGGGAGGCATGTGGTCAGCTGTGGATATCTGCAGCACAGGCCCCACCTCCTGCCCAGTCATGCAGGCCTGTAGCCAGACATCTTGGAGTTCACTCAGCCCAGACCCAAAATCTGAGCTGGGGCCTGTTAAACCCGACGGCCGTTTGAGGTAGCACAGGGTACACATCCCTCCACTGGCTTTTAAAAGGGAATTTAACATGGTTGCTCTTGTGACATGGGGGGGAGGATTATCCGCCTGCCCTTCTAAACTTGGGCTGGTTTCAAAGTGGATTAACTGCCAGGCATCCTTCAAGAAATCGTACAATTTAGTTTTCACATAGTTCTTGGAAGTGGTACGGAGGGTCGACAGCTAATTTCATCGAATGGCTGTCATTTTAAGCTCCGGGAAGGTGTGGAGAGAAGGAAACCGGTTTTTAAAACATGCCTTAAGTTTTTAGCGCGGGTGCAGTATCAAGGCTACAGATTATTTAAAACCTCAGTCTGAGGTGTATTGGCTATTTTATCACACACACACACACACACACACACAGAGAGAGAGAGAGAGAGAGAGAGAGAGAGAGAGAGAGAGAGAGATGGGAAATGAGTAGCAAAATGGCAGCCGGTTGCAGATGCTGAAATTGCCATCGCTCCCCATGCCATCACTTCCCAAAGCATTCCCACAGCAGCCTAGCAAAAGTGTTGACATTATCACTATGCCAAGCCGTGTTTTAACTGGCAAGGACTTGGGGCTCCCCATCCCCCTTTTCTTATGTATGTAACTATATATTTATTAATTTATTTCAGTCTGACACACACAGAGACCCCACAACTCTCTGATATTCACAAGAGTTCAATATTTGTCATAGCAGACTACAAAACACTTGCAGAGAGCCCCAATGGGAAGAAACCCCTTCCTCTACCCCAGCATTTTTAAGAAGTGGTTTCAGGCAGGGGAATAGCAGCTGTTTAGGGAAGTTTTTAATGTTTAATGCTGTATTGTGTTTTTAATATTCAGTTGGGAGCCTCCCCGAGTGGCTGGGGAAACCCAGCCAGACGGGTGGGGTATAAATAATAAATTATTATTATTATTAGTATTATTATATAGTGATAACAGGGAAAGAGTTCAACTACTCCCACCAGCCTGTGCTTAATCTTGAAGCTACAGGGACCTGGTGATGGATAAGGAGTCTCTCTGCCTCAGGCCCTCAAGAGCTGCTGCCGGTCAGAGCAGTCACCCCTGGGCTTGGTTTAAGGCAGTTTCCAATATTCTGATTTTAGAAGGTTGCAGGAGGGAATCCTGGGTAGGGCGCAAGGCAGGAAGACCAGCAGTAGGTGGCGCCAGTGCAAGGCAGAGGCATCTCATTTCTAGTCTTGTCCCCATCTTCCTCCCTGATAAATTTCTACTGAGGGCAAGGAGGAGGAGGAAGATGACAGCACTGTGCCCCCCCCCCCCAGAATGGTTGTCAGCAAGAAGACAGGCACATGGGCTTATGGGAATCAAGGCCGAGACTGGTGGGGCAATCACCCCAGTGGCTCAGTTTGGGACAAATGACTCTTTGGGGCTAGTGTTAAAAGCTGCTCTTCCATAGGATGGAGAGCAGCGCCTCCTGGAGTGCATTTATGTGTTTTACCTGTGACATTTTAGCAGGTCTTGAGCACAGTTTTTCCACTTTTGGGAACTGGTGGTATATCATTTGGTCCCCAGGCAGCCTAACACTGAGGAAAAAGTACAGATTCTGTTAACATTCAAATAGCATTTTAGTCCAATTAATTTCTAGCTAAGCTCTTTGGCATAAGTTGTGCAATCTACATATACAAGTGGGTGTGTTTGTGTAAAAATAGCCAGTTAATGTATTTTTTCTAAAAAGGTTTCTTTCTCTTCTCTCCCCACCCCTACATTTTGCGCCTGTGTAAAACTTTCAGGCCTACTCTAGTGTAATCCTGTGCATGCGTACCTGGGCGTAAGGGCACTTCCAGGCTGCCACTGTTTTGCTGTGGGATTCAGTCACATACTGGCAAGTTCAACTTGTGCAGTTGTAATTGATCAGGAGGGTCCTGTGTGACAAACCAGCTTCCCCCGTCCCACCCCAGACTGAACTTCCTTGAGATAAGGAAAGTGATGGCAAATTGCATTGGAAAGTGTTGGCTTTTAAGACCACATCACCTAACCTATCTCACAAACAAAGCAGAACGAATGACCATTCAAACAGCCACCTCCTTGCAAACAAATGAGGTTGGATGGTCAGTAAACTGGTACCCTGGAAGCAGCCTCAATCCCAATTAGTTTAGCGGGGCTTCCTTCTGAGTAGACCTGCACAGACTAGCACTGTTCTGTAAGCTCACCTGTTGGGAGAGCCTGACGACAGAAGAAGCACGTCGCAAGAATCCGTTAAATTCCCTTTTAAAACAACTGCAATGGTGACCGTAAACAAAAAAAGAAACTTCTGAGTTTCCAGTGGCTTGCTAATGTTTTTCCTCTCACCATCCTGTTTGGTTTAAAGCTACTACCGTTCGCTTTGGACTTTGAAATTGCAGTGTCAGCTGTGCTGGCATGAAGGCAGAGCATTAAATGTTTAGAGCTGGCAGCAAAGGAGGCTACATAGGAGGGCGGTTTTAGGTATTTATTTGTATTTTTAGTCAATGACTAATTAGTAGGTGCTGCTTATGCAGCTTGGAGATTATCTTATCTTACTAACGAAAGCTGCCTTTATTAAGAAAAGGCCTTTTTTTAAGAAAAACAAAACAAAACAAAAAGACATCTCATTTCTTCCCCCTTCCCTTTTCCTGCATTCTTGATTTCCACTCAAATAAGAATTCTGACTACAAAAAAAGAAAACCTAGATGTTCCAATTGCTGATAAAAGAGGGGAGAGAGGATGGAACCCATTCCGTCAGAAATCGTCCAGTCAGAGGTAGCAGCTGCTCATATCAGTGTACCCATCCATGTCTCTCAGAATCCTAGAAAACCACAGTTCTATAGGTCCATGATCTCTGCCATTGTCCCTGCTGGCAAGGGCTGATGGGCATTTGAGTCCAATAACATCTGGAGGGCCATGGATTTCCCTGTCCATGGCTTAGGTGCTTCTGTAAGAAGACCTTCTCTCCTGGAGAACCGTCCCAAGTCCTAGCAGAAGACCAGGAGCCCAACATTCTCATGCTGAAACAAGGAAAACCTAGATTTCCATCCAGCCTTGCGGGGCTTATTCATTCATCTGTGTTCATCACTCTCTGAGCTGCACCTAAGTGGTCTTCCTTGAAAACGACTGTGCTGAGTTGATGTGAGCCAATGGCGTTTGATGTTTGGCAGGCATCTCCCATGCTTGGGTCATTGCTTCAGGTTGTGCTCACTGAGCGCCGAACGATGCATATGCAAATCTGCCCAAGCTGGGATTTTGTCCCTCAATCTCCTTGAGCGTCTCAGGTCAAGGCAGCTTCCTAAATCTATGGCGCAGATCACTCAGCATGCAGCAATCCCCACAGTTGCTCCTAGTAGACTGTGATGCATCTTGAGCTGGACTCCCTGGTTATGTGGACTGTGGAAACAGATCCACCGCCTGGAGCTTCTAGCACACAGATGAAGCCCTACACCGGAATTCCCAAAAGCTTCATCTGTAGGCTGAATGGATGGGAAAGTAACTGCTGAGTCCACCAGGTTCGGCTTGCCTGCAACATCCGCTCATTCTTAGCACATCAGCACCCTGTGGATGCAACTCTTTGCACATTGGCAGAAGAATGAGATCTGTGGCTCAACGGGCACGTAACCGTGTGCAGGATCTGAGCCACATTCTTTAGACCATTCTGGGCGCTCCACTTTCACTCCACCTACCCAACAGCTCTTGTGCTACAACACCTCCATGCGGAATGTAACAGGTTTGAACTCGTGCAAGGAATCTTTGTGGTTGTTCAAGAGCTTCCAGGGAGCACAAAACCCCAAGATACCACTGAGCAGCTTAGGGAGGGCTTAGCTCAGCTGTAGATCCTCTGCTTTGCACGCAGAGGGTCCCAGGTTCAATCCTTGGCATCTTCAGGTAAAGCTGGGAGTGAAACCTCTCTGAAACCCTGGACAGCCACTGCCAGTCAGTGTAGACAATGCTGAGCTCGATGGACCAGTGGTCTAACTCAATATAAGGCAGCTTCCTATGTTCCTTTCATTAGGCAGCTGTAAGAGTCCTTATGTAACGCAAAATATTCTTTACTCTCCTCCTTCTCCCCCTCCCGAGATTCCTGATGCTTCAGAGGTGGCCCTTTGCACTTCATTCCGAAGCATTAAATATATATGTATGTATTTTCCAGCTTAGTATCATGGTAGCAGTTTATGTCATGTTTTTCTTGACAAGTTCAGATGCTGTTAATCAGGCATGGTGGGGAGAACTGTGGCCCTCCAGATATTGCTGGACTACAATTCCCATCATCCTGCAGAGGGGGCCCTCCATCCTTGCAGTTTCCTCCCCAAAACCACCTGTTTTCATTCTCTCTCTTTCCTGCCCAATTGCTTCTGCCTTGGTTACCTTCTTTTGCTACCAAAGGTACTACCTCACTAATACTTTGAAACGTGTTTACCTAATGAAAACAAGAAAAGAGGGTTTGGGGAAAGTGGGGGGGAAATAGCTGAATGTACAATCTATGCAAATTCATTCTTTCTTTCTTTCTTTCTTTCTTTCTTTCTTTCTTTCTTTCTCTCTCTCTCTCTCTCTCTCTCTCTATTTTAGTAATTTAAAATAAAAAAGACAAAGAAAGAAAACTTATAAGTATTAGAACTTGCCAAATAAACAGCAAGATACTGTACAGGTGCCTCTGATAGCAGAGCGATCTTCTACCCGGCACAGTTCATTGTGCCGTATTTGTATATTATAGAAAAAATGAGTTGTCTTTTGGTTCCGTTTGTGATTAGAATCACCCTTGATGGAAGGAGGTGGTTGGCGTTGCTTTGTTAAAGAACAGCACCTTCAGATTTGCTGGGGAAATATGCCGGACGAAGAAATGGAGCGTGCTTTGTAGGGTTTTTTTTTTATGTTGGTTGCCATTAACAAACAGCGATGGCAACAGCAAAAAAGTGTGGGGCACTGGCTCCTTTTTTAAAAAAGCTTGGGAGGCTGTTGGTTGAGAGATTTCCCTATGGGTAAATCAGGTTATCTGGACTGTTTCCAACTCAGTGTTCATGCCATGGCATCCTATGAGTTGCCCCTTTTAGAGAAGCCTTAAGTTCTTTCATCTTTTTTTCAATGTGGCCTTAAAACTGTGTGTGTGTGGAAATTTTAGCTGTTGTATATTCTTTCTCTCTTGACTATTGTCAACGTATTAAAAAACAAAAGCACCTTGAGATGACTGTGGCCTTTTTTCCCCCACCCTCCTGCTGCTGCTGTACAACTGTCACTTTTTACACACTGCACAAGTCCACGAAAGGACATGGTTTACAACTGCAAGATCCTGGGGGAGGATGGGACAGGGCAACATTATCCTTTTGCAGAAAAGATCAGCATTATCCATTTTTGCAGAAAGAAAGGAGGCTTTGCAAATATCGGCAGTTTTGCTTTTGCAACACGTTGATGGTAAGACACAAGGATCTCTCTCACCAATGGGGAATGTGCCTTGGAAGAATTACTCCTGGGTTTTTACACCCATGAAAATCTGTTCCGCACACCTATCTGAGTGCAGAGAAAGGTGACCAAGAAGATAAAGGGTCTGGACACCAAGCCTTATGAGGAATGGTTGAGGGAGTTGGGTATGCTTAGTCTGGATAAGAGGAGGCTGAGAGGTGATATGATCGCCAAATATCTGAAGGGCTGTTGCATGAAGATGGAGCAAGCTTGTTTTCTGCTGCACTGGAGGGTAGGACCCGAACCAATGGATTCAAGTTACAAGAAAGGAGATTAACAGAATCATAGAACTGTAGAGACAGTAGTCTATTCAGGGAGGTGCACTGACCAAAGACTCAGTCCAGTGCAGCTCATCAATACAAGCAAGGAAGCGTTTTACAACAAAACATTTGCAGGGTCACGAGTCCTGGGGTTCAGCCTGCAACAGACCCAGTTAGTGGAGGAGGAGTTGTGACCACCATCATCATTTTGTATTCGGTAACTGCCCTTCACCCAGGGCAGGTTACGTATATCTTTAAAAATATAATGCAATGAAAATGTACCTATTCATTTGCAATCTAGCTGGGTTGGAAGTTTCCACAGGAAACTTTTCCAGTGAACTTCAGGAGGTGGAGGAGAACAGGGGGATTAAATGGGGGAAATTTCAGGGATTGGGGACACAATTTTTTGCCACTCAACTGATTTATTTGATTTAAAACAAAAAAAGCTTTCTGACTTCTTTGTCCATGAGACAACCAGATGCCCAACCTCGTTCCTGTTTTTCACAAAATGGCCTGTGGGAACATCTTGTATGGGGTGCCTTGGGACCCCTCAAGACTGTTGGTGTTCATTCTGTCTCATATCACTAATGCAATACAGTAATAGTGCATAAGTGATAGGTTTATACTGGACCGTCTGCACATCATTCTGTTTTGTTAGTTTTTCTGTGATTCTTCCCCAGAGGCTTGACAACCATATGTCAGGAGTGCTCTGATGGTGTTTCCTGCTTGGCAGGGGGTTGGACTCGATGGCCCTTGTGGTCTATTCCAACTCTATGATTCTATGATTCATTACCACATTACAGTGGTACCTCTGGTTGTGAATGGGATCCATTTTGGAGGCCCTTTCACAACGTGAAAAGCCTGCAACCTGAAACGCTATATCTGCACAGGTGCGCAGCGCGATTTGGCACTTGTGTGCATGCACAAAGCGTGATTTAGCTCTTCTGCGCATGCGCGAGTGGCAAAACCCAGAAGTAACCCTTTCCGGGTCGCCACAGGACGCAACCTAAAAAACGTAACATGAAGCAAACGTAACACGAGGTATGACTGTATTGCTGTCTGGAGGGGCACCCCGGCATTACAGTTCAATGAAAATGAAACCAAAAAAAGCCCAGACGTTGGTTGTATAAGTGACAGGATTCCAGCAAGAAGTTTCAGGACATGCACTAATTGGCCAACGAAGCAGCATGTCTGCCCCAAATTTTTTAGAGGTGTGAACAGAATGAAAACAGGATTACATATAACCTCCCCAAGACCATTTGGAGCACAGGCCATTAAGGATCCTTCAGCTGTGATTTCTCCATTGCTGGACTAGATGTCCCTTGGGTTCCCTTCCAACTCTACAATTCTGTGGTTCTATGGACGTGCAGTACAGCCTAACAACATCAGGAAGGCTACAAGTTTCCCAACCTTGCTTTGGGCTGTTCTTCTGGAAGGAGCAGTGTATAACCCAGCCTTGGCCAGCAGAGAAGGGGGGTGGAATTATGCTCCCAAATGCCTGCCCCCCAAAAGGTGTTTCATTGAGCTCCCCCTCCTCCTCCTCTTCCAAGTAGCAGAAGAAAATGCAACTCTGCTCTAGGCACCGCAGGGGAGCCTGTTCCTTGCTTTGCCCCATGCTGTGCTCGCCACATCCCTGTCTAATCCAAAGAGGATGATTTTAGCTTTTTACTAAGGATTGCATCAGCACTGGTCAGGAGGCCTGGAAGCAGAGGGAGGGCATTTCCTAAAGGAATGTGAATTTTTAGGAGGACACCTCCAAAAGAGGGATGAGGAACCTCTGGTGCAAGGCCCAAATGTGGCCCTCAGGACCCAGGCCAGGCCAAACACCCCTTCAAGCGACACCCACCACCGACCTTGCATCTCATCTCCACGTGTTTTTGCCAGGCTGGAATGTGTCCTTGAACTCAAATGTCTCCAGTTGGTGAACATGTGCAGAAACTAGCCTACTATACATACGTTTTAAATAAAAATAAATGCATTCATTGCCCTGCCCACTTTTACCTCTGGCCCCACCCATCACTGGCATATGGCCCCTGGAAGATTGCCCAGAAGGAAATGTGGCCCTCAGGCTGCAAAAAGGGCTCCCCAACTGTGATCTAATATAACAGGGAGCATTGATACTTCGTGCTATGGCACCTGGGTTGGATTTCCCTCTCCCTGCCAAACCACAGTATATTGGGGAGACAGTGGCCAGGAACATGGGGGGGGGACGGGCAAAAGCATGGGAAATGAAGCTTCATACCCTCATCTGAAATGGCAGCCACTGCAGGGGGGGGGAAAAGAATATCAAATGTAAGGGAAAAAATGTGGCCTTGCACTTGTGGAAAAGCTTGAGCTCTGAGAAATTCCTATATTTCTGGCAACCCAGCACAGAAAGCTTTGTGGGAATATTGGAACATGTGACACGGAGCATAAGATCCCTCCAAACTCCCCTGTAGTGATATTTTACTTTTGCTAAGAATTGTAACAACAATGCTTTCTGTTGGTGCTGTTGGGGTTCAAGTCAGATGTTCTTGATCCAAGTGGAAGCTGGCATCTCTTCCCCACCCCATGACCCCCACTATGGACCCTTCTAGATTTCCATTTATTGTGCATTCATGATGACTGGCGCTCATGATTGTGTCAGGGCAGGTATAATCCTAATACAGTTTGCACCCCTATTGCCCTCACTGAGCAACAACTCCCAGAGTTTCCTATGAAGAGGGATGAATTGTTAAACCACTCTGGGAATTGTATTTTTGGGAGAAGAATAGGGGTCTCCTGTAGCAACGCTCAGCACCCTTAACTAATTTCAGCGCCTGAAATTCTTTGGGGGAAGACATAGCAATATGTTTTTGCATCGCTTTCTTCAGAATATGGTGAGTCAGTTTACCCCTTTGCTCATTCTGTGGGGCCCTGGACTACTCCCTGGGAAGTCCCACACTGACAGCACTGACGGGAAATTTTCAGTCTACAACCACACCTCCACCCATCCCCATGTTCTTCTTTCATGAAAGTTCCCATTTGTGATGAGAAATGTTACAAATGGAAGGCAGAAATAGCTAAACTTTGGCTAAGTAGCTGTTCTTGGATGCCACCAAAGCTTCTCTTGCCATGTGGATTTGTTAATTTGCTGCGGTGCAAACAGCAACCGGCTGATGGGCACAATTTATGACTTGTGAAAAGTAAAGACATTGCAAACCCACCCTTAAAGAGGAAAATGAAACACTTAAAGCTTTTTGTTTTCTGCTTACTAAAGTGGTTTGTTGCTAAGAAACTGAATGAACCATTGCCCGTTAGCATACATCCACAGCTTGTTGTGTAATGCCAATATTTTCTCTGCAAAGATGGCATGCTAAGTTGGCCCTACAGAGCAGAGCAGATATGATCAATGGGTTGCTTTTGCGGTCCAGAAGTCATTCCATGTCCCACAGAGGCTGTAAAAAGAGGTTTCTCTCTTAGTTGGATGTGTTTTTTTAAATCCACAACCAAATTCTTTGAAACTCTTGTTCAGAAGTCATTCAAATTCCACACTTTAAGAAAAAACACAACCCTATCCATGCCTACTTAGGAGAGGTGAGGAACTTCCAGCCCATTGACCAAATTTGGCGCAACACTGGTCCCAGTTTGACTCAGGAGGCCACTTCCCCAAAACCACACCCATCTGCCTCACAGCTGGTGTCATATGTGACATCAGGTGTGCGGCAGGTAGAGATGTCGCTGCAAAATGGGGAACTTGATCGTGCAGCCCACCCCTTCTGAAGTTGTTAGGAAATGCTTATTTCCCCCATTCCCTTCCCAGGGAATATTGGACACTGTATCTCTCTGAGGAAATAGGGTCTCCTAACAACTCTCATCACCCTTAAACTACACTTCCCAGAATTTTTTTTTTTTGGGGGGGGAGCCATGACTCTTAAAGTGATATAACACAAGTCGTGGGTGGGGATCCTCAGGCCTTGCTAGTCTGGATGGAGAATCGAGAGGCACATCCCTGGCCTGTGGCCCCTGGAATGTTGCCCTGAAGGAAATGTGGCCCTTAAGGCTGAAAACATTTCCCCACCCCTCTTCTAAGGTCTGCTCCCTTTGCGTGTAAGCAGATTGTTGTCTTTCCTAATATAAATCAGACCAGACTAAGCTGAACTCAGGTAGTTGTCAGCTACCAAACAGCTAGTTGTATGCTTCCTATATGCAGTAAAGCTTCCCTCCACCACCAGTGCAAGTTACTCTTGTCTGATCACAGCAAACCAGAGCTGTCAGACTGCCTGCGCTGGCACCAAGTCGGTGCAGCTGGAGGTCGAAGAACATGGTTTTTACAGTTGCAATATGGTTGATGCAGCCCGTGAGGCCTTGCTGTTTGGATAATAATTACCTCCTATTGACAACAGCTGAGCTTCTCCGAGAAGCGCACAAAATCAATGCGCTGGGCATGACTAGCTGGATGACAGGAGCTCCCTGTATTACTCAGGAGGAACTTTCCAGGGGAA